AACGTTAGGAAACAAAACTTCAAGAACACGGCCACACAGCCCGGAAGACCTACACCAGCCAACCCCAAGGTTCCTAATAGCTGAAAAGCCATTGACAAGCAATTTCCAAAAGTGATTACAGGTAGTCCTCAACTTACGACTGCAACTGGGACCAGGATTGCCATTGCTAAGCAATGCAATCGTAAAGTGCAAAGTCATGTGACCACATCACTTAGCAATGCCAATCCAGTCCTGGTTGTCATTGTAACCCAAGACAGGTGGGTTGTTAAGCAGGAAGCAGAGCGAGTCCCAGGTAAGGAGCACAGGGGTGCTGTAGTGGGGTGGGGGAACAGGCCATGCACAAGTTGGGGGAGGGGGCGCTTGATGCAGTACAAACTCAAAAAGGCCGGGAAATTGTGGTGTGGGGTGCACGCAATCGCAGGGAGGCTGGGAAAAGAGGGCATGGGATGCATATGTGTGAGTATAGAGAGGCCAGGAAAAGAGGGTGTGGGATATGTGCATGCGTGTGTGTGTGATCGCAGGGAGGCTGAGGAAAAAGGCTGCAGAGTATGTGCATGCAGGGTGCATATGAGCAAAAAAGGGCGGGGGAGGGAGACTTACCCCAGCAACTTGTGACCTTCCTTGCTGGCTTCCCATTGACTTTGCTTGGGGGAGGCCGGCAGGGAAAAGCACAGATGGTGATCACATGATCAGAGGACACTGCAACTAATCGTAAGTGCAAGCTGGTTGCCAGGCACCCAAATTTTGTTCACATGACCATGGGTGTGCTGCAACAGCCAGAACTTCAAAAACTAGTTTTAAGTCCCTTTATTTAGCACCTTTGTAACTTCAAAGGGTCGCTGATGGTTGTAACTCGAGGACTACCTGTAGAAAAGGAAGTATGCAAATTTAGTGTCATTTCAAAGGTGCCAACCATGGTTTGAGCAAGATGGCTATTCCCTCATCTCTCAGAGCTCTAAACCCGCCAGGGACCACTGCCTTGCGGTCTCCTCATGAGGAGCAACGGTAAAGAGCACTTTTGGACAATCTCAAGTCCTCTCCTTGTCCGGAAAGGAATTATGAAAAGCCAGTCTACTCACTGGCTCTTTATTTTGCCATGGTCGTCGGCTTTGCTTTTTACAGAGCCATCTTCAATCTGCCATTTCTTCCGGGCTGATGGGATCCCATGATGGGATTTTTTAAAAGAATTTTTTAAATTCTAATCTAGAGAGAGAAAAAGTGTTGGGAGTCACAAATAGTTCTTAAGGGCTCTAAATTAATTGAGTTTGTGTCTCCTGAACAGCTGCTTTTGTCTTCTTCAGTACTCTGCAGAAGTACTGAATCCTTTATTATGCCCTGAAAGGTAGCTAAATCCACCAGGCTCTGAATCAGTAAAATTTCTTCATACCAGAAATTACTGAGCTTTTACAATTATTGTTTTGGCAGACACTGAAAAACTTCATTATTGCATTTCATTCAGGGTTCCTAGGCTTGCCAGAGTAACTTCATATTCAAGAAATACTTTAATAGTGAAGTTTAGTGAAAATCACACAATGAAACCATACAGATTTGGAAGTGCAAGTAGGTAATAAGGAATAAATCTTTAAAGCACAGCATATTTGCCTATCAGCTACATGTCAGCCTTTGAGAACTGTCTGCTCTTCCACATGTGGCATTCGAAAGAGTTTTTCTGCTCTCTTTTGTGGCTCTTCTCTGCATTACCTGATCTTAGCACAACTGTAATTACAAGTTGGTTAACCGTGCCTTGCGTCTGATACTATCCCAAACCTCTGCTAGATCCAAGAGCCTTCTGTGTGGCCAACTTTATATATAACCTGAGATTTTAAATTTTGTTTGAAGGGCAAACACCATTAGCTAACTATGTGGGGAGATGTGGGTGTTATAGCAAGATGCCATATCCAAGAGGGGCAGAGGGAGGGGACAGGCAACAAAACTTCAAAAATATATCTTGTTGCAGAGTCTAAAATAATGCATTTTCTCAGGATGGCTATAACATACATATATACAGAGAGAGAGAGAGAGAGAGAGAGAGAGAGAGAGAGAGAGAGAGAGAGATGTGCTTAAAACATGATACATCCGTCACAAAGAAATTGGAAAAAAAAAAAACTTCTCTAAATATAGCCAGCACTGCTTATGATGTGAAGATAGATTTTTCTTTTTTCTATCAGGTTGATTGTCCCTGCATCAAAATGAATTGGAGTCTCATGCAGAAAGCTCATACTGGGAAAGTCAATATTACTATCCAATAAATACAGGATATTGAAATGTTGCTGGGTTTTTTTAACCTGGAAATGTCTCCGCCAAAGGCATGCTGTTTTTTTATGCTTTGATAGGTTAGATAACATGTTTACCTAAAAGTATGCAGCGTCAGTATTGCTTTTCCAGCTTGCTATCTTTCTTTATTAAAAGCAAACAACACACACACACGC